GATCATCAATACATCCTTCGGAAGCCATAAGATCTTTCACCATCATTAAAATCGCGTTACGAATATTTTCACGCCGACACCACAATGCATAGTTTCTATTTAGTTTATTTAAATGTAAAAGTGATTTACAATGACAAAAAGGTTTGGTTTATTAACCTAAATATTTTATAATGGCAAGGTTAATGATATTATATTGCTATGCGTCCAAACGAAAGCTTTTGTTCAGTTCTAATTATAAGTAAATAATGAATGTGTATGCGTGCTAAAATGTAATCAGGTAATGACTTTATTTCGATTTGGGGATATAAATCAATTTCGATTCAATATTTTTCAGACTTTCCAGTATTAAGCGAAAGTCTTAAAGCAAAAAAATGTTTTTTGCTTCCCTTTGGTTTACGCTACTCACGTTTATTGCAATTTTACTGTGCGCGAATAAAGTTTTTATACGTGGTAGAGCCATGTTGCAGCTATAAGTAGTATAGATGTAGCACGAATGGGTCGGCTAGACCGGGACCGGGACCACGCTCTCACAGTATACCAGCGTAAAGTAGCAGCTTAATGCTGCTGTGTTTCATATGGTGAGTGTTGAGAACCGGAGACCCTTTTTACTGGAAAAGAGGAATTCCATCTTAGTCCTCACAGTTGACAACGCTTCTACATTTTGATTTGCAAACGAGGATTAATGTAGATGTCTATGGGCCACGGCAACCACTTACCAGCAGGTGAACTGTGTGCTCGTTTGTCACCCTATCCTTTAAAAAAAACCCGGGTTCAATCCCCATGGCAGCACCCATGAAATTGTTTTGGCTTTTAAATATTTTTGACCCGACTTAAGTAAATAAACAGAAACTTGAAGTTTTGCAGTGGTATGCAAATATATACATAAAATTAAATCCATACCCAAGGATTTAATTTGAATAATTATGGGATCTCAGGTTGATGGTAGCACCCAGCCACTATTCCTAGTGGGATTTAAAAAAAAAGTAAAAATAATTTTAAAATTAACACGATAAAATCCGCAAAATTATTTTAATTAAATGTTCTTTACTCGTCATTACCGGGCGCGTATGGAATTACAGCGGAGCTTCTGAAAGCAGATGGGAAACCGGTAATTGAAGTCCTTTAAAAGCTCTTTAATTTCGTCCTTCATGGTGTTACTACTACGTAGGCATGGAGCAGAAGTGCGCTGGTCTTGTTCTTCAAGAAAGACGACAATGCTCTTTTGAAGAACTATAGACCGATTTCTTTTCTGAGCCGCGTCTACGTGCTGTTTTTGAGAGTCATTACGAATCGTCTCGCACGACGACTCGACGACTTCCAGCCTCCCGAACAAGCCGATTTCTGAAAATGCTTTAGCACCATAGACCAGAGGAGTACAATTTGCCACAATTTCTCTACGTGATAAACTTAGACTTGAGGATATTCGCAGTAGAACCAGAGTGACCGACATAGCCCAACGGATTAGTAAGCTGAAGTGGCAATGAACTGGCCATATAGTTCAAATAACCGAAAACCGATGGGGAAAAAAGGTTCTCGAGTGGCAGTCTCGTACCGGTAAGCGAAGTGTAGGGCGGCTCCACACTAGATGGAGTGACGACCTGGTAAGACATGCAAGAAGTCGATAATTGCAAGTAGCTCAGGATAGTGCTTTGTGGCATTCCTTGGGGGAGGTCTAAGTTCAGCAGTGGACTTGTGAAAGGTTGTAATGATGATGATGATTCATCATTACATCCTATCAAAGTTTACAGCTGAACGTAGGCTTTCCAAGGATTGCCGAATAATGAGGGCATGCGGGTTTTTTTTTATTTTCAAGCTGTTATATGGAAGACACTGCTGTACATTTCCTGATTTGTTACCCTCTGTCGTGTCTTACGTACTGAATATTCTTACACAGCCACTGCACAGCATTTGTATTCTAGCACACAGCCATTATTTCTAGTGGGATTTAAAAAAAAGTATAAATAATATTAAAATAAACACGATAAAATCCGCAAAATGATTTTAATTAAATGTTTTTCATTCATCATTACAGCCTATTAAAGTTCACAACTGAACATAGGCTTCCCAAAGGTTGCCGATTAAAGGGGGCAAGCGGGTTTTATTTTTATTTTCTAGCTGTTATATGGAAGACCCTACTGCACATCTATCGATTACTTTCCGTCTGTTGCCTCTTACGTACTGGATATTCTTAAACAGCCACTGCACAGCATTGTATAACTTTTATTAATTAATTTAATTGAATAAGTTTTATTATTTTATTTTATTCAAAATTTTTGTAAAGATGCAAAATCATTAAATATTTGCGTAAATTATCAACTTTACACGCTATAAAGTTTGAATTCTGATTGTACTGTAATACTTTCCAAACTATACCAAAGTTTTAAAAAATCTGTATCTTTTTCTCCCAGAAAAGAACATAATACAGATTATGGCCATCGCGGTGACTATATTTTTAAAACGAGTTAGAACCTCAATAATTTACAACCCATTCCTTATCACACGTAACATGCTTACTTACTGTCTCACGTAGGACGTCATTGTAAGCAGTTCGATTTTCTAAAGTCCACATTTCTACACATTAGTTCCGAGTTACAAGTTCTCTAGTATTACGCTAAGGATTTTGAGAGGATGTCAATGCTTGTGTAAGTACGTGTACTAATAATATATACGTGCGTGATTGGCGTGGTCACCTCGCATATCTTAGGAAAAAATAAGAAGAAATAGCAAACTCACCGATTTTTATAATTGATAATTATGTAATATTTACTGACTGTGATTAAAGCATTTTTTGTAAAAATTGAATGGTATTCCTATTTTCCTATTATGTATTCCAGGTTTTCTACTTTTTCTCTTCCTTCCCGACATTTTGAGCCTGTATAATCCGGGTTTTTAACGAAAAAGGGCGTAAGTTGTTGACGAAATAGTAATAGTAACTAATTACCTGGCGCTCATATACTTTTGAAAAACCGAAGGAATGCGGGTATGTTGCTGGATTTTAAAGAACCCTATTTTAATTATATCGATGCGGAAAAATTGCCAGTGATTTTTTCGGATTAATATAACTTAAGAAATAAGGGAAAATAGATTGAATATAATCGTGCGAGGCAGACGGCTTCCGAAAAATAATACTACATTGATGTTTTTTTTACAATATAGGGTGACAAACAAGCACACAGTCTACCTGATAGTAAGTGGTTGCTATGACCCATAGACATCTACATTTATCTTCAATAAAGAATCAAAATGCAGATGCGTTGTCACCCGTGAGGAGGATGGAATGCCACGTTTTCAGGAAAAAGGATCTCCGGATCTCTACACTCACCATATGAAACACAGCATCATTAAGCTGCTATTTTACGCTTGTATTCTGTGAGAGCGTGGTCCTTCCCCGGTCGGGCCGACCCTACCACTATACTACTAGTATAGCTGTAGCATGGCTCTACCACGTAAAAATGTTTTGAATTTAATAACCGAAGTGTGTATTTTGATAGATTTAGAAAGTAAACCATTTATTCAGTTATTACAGCCTAATCACGAAAGTCCTAGTTTGGCCTATTTCAGTGACGTAACGTTTTTTAAAAAGAAAGCCCACAACTGAAAATAGGACTCTAAAAATTGCCTTATAAAGCCAAATACACCCCAAACTTGCCACACTTAGCAGGTGGGGTGACAGCCACAGCTTTTTTTAATTTTTTTTATTTATTATTATAAAGAAGTTGTGCATCCCTTGGTTTCTTTCCCTCTGTCCCATCTTACGACACTTATGCGGCGATTAGAAATAATTCAAGAAATCAAGAAATTTCGTATTTATATAAAAAATTATAAAAAAATTCAAAATATTGTAAAAATAATTTCATCTAAAACGTTATAAATATTATTAAAGATTTATTCAATATTTTTTACTATTCTGGTAGCCTCTAACTTGTTATTATAAATTTTTGCAATTCCGTAAACATTTTAATTAGTTCTTAGTGTTGTTATCTAGTTTTCCTGTGCATTACGGTCGTATAATCAATTTCCTTGACCCTTGTAGCGACCTTAGATAAAACTGTTCGATTATAGGACGTAGACGTAAAAGTTCAAGTGTAGGGTAGTGTAGGAAACAAGATTAATGCCACACAAAACACATTTTTTTTTGATGACCGGTTTTTTCTAGTAATGTGTTTTTGTTTATTTGCTATTTGCCAAATGAATCAACAACGCTTATGTTTGAAATAAACTAATAATACATATATATTATTCAAAACGTAGCCAAATATAATATAAGGTAATAATATAATATATATAAATATAATATAATTATAAGCACTAAAATAAAAAAATAGTATTGACAAAATGTAGAAAATATTGATCTTAAAAAGATGTTACAGCTGTGTTATAAAAAAGAATACAGCTTTAAATTTTAAATACTACTAAACAAGTATAATAGAAGTGAAATATTCCACGTCTCTTTTGTTTCTATTAAAATATGTAAAACGTTAAGAAATAATTACAAAGGAGCTTAAAAACTGTTATAGTCAAAATTAAAATAATGTGTTAGGATATGCATAGGATAGGCAGTCAACCTTTGTCAGACAGCCTAATTAATAAATCTACAAAAAATATTCAATTAAAGATAAACTTTGTTATAAAAATATAAACATTAAAATAATATTAGAGTTAAAGAAAAGTTAAGCGACACGCATCGAGGGCCATGAGCTGTGATGATCCTAGTGAGAACCCTGGTTCATTGTCATTAAAATCTTGTATTGTCATCAGTCCGTGATACGATTGCATATTTTTAAATCAATCGGCCGACTTTAAGTTGGTGAAAATTACATTAAAAGATTTCGTTACATAGATAAATAAATAAATACACGCGAAGGTAAGAAAAGCGTATTAAAAACTTTTAATTCTTCTATTTTGAACAGTCATTGTAGGAAGATAGTATACTCGTACATTATAGACACTCTAATAGTTTATTTATTAAAAGACAAAGTATAATTAAATATTAGACGTACCTTGGCTGCACGAATTAAACCACCATTGATGTATTTAAAAAAAATTAAAAAAACTTCACTTATTAAATCGACATTCAGTTTACGACTTTAAAATATCGCGAATTAAACGTAAAGTTTTCCGCGTTATTATGTGTACCGAAGCAAATCATTCCCATAGACGTCAGCTCTCGCGAAAGCCCGCGGTCAACTGAATCTATATCTCGCCTGCCTGTCTCCACTCTCATGAAATGAACTGAATGCTTTACCACACTTCAGCAGCGGCATAAGCTCTTAAGTCACTCAAGTCATTTGGAGCTTAAAAACAATAAGCATAAAGAGCTAAATCGAACATCTATTACATTGTTTTTAAAGTACTTAGTTGTTTGTTTGGGAGGGTCACAGAGGCGGGAATGAGTGCGCTGAAAAAAAAATAAACCAACCGCGTCTCTCTGAGTTAAGGCTACAGGGGCGGGTTTCCAGTGGATATCTTTAATTAAAACAGGAACATCGCGTAGTTTCGATGTGTAATGAATTGAAGTTGCCAGGAAAAAAATGTAAGATACCTTAGCTATCTCTGGAAGCGTGATGAAAAAGTAAGGTGAAAGGGACTCTTGAGTTGCTTGGAAAAAAAACAATTAACGTTAGATGTTTCAAAAAGTCTCTTGAAAAAACTCTGTTGAAAAATGTTAAGCATCATATGTCCACCACTTTTCCACCATGTTCCACCAATTTTGCATTTGTTAATAAATACGGTAAAAAGGTTCCGCTTAAGGGATAAAATTAGTATTTTAATGAATATCTCTAGCATTCTACTATAAAAGACTAGTAGTATAACGCCATCATGTTCAATTATTGTTTGAAATAAAAACCTGTAATGCAATAAAAATATCTAAGTCCATAAAAAAATCAGCGACATGCTTTCAACCTGACACCATGCTGAATTTGTTCCTAGTTTTGGCACTACTTTGAAGCACTAGTTTTAAAAATATATATAATATATTAATTTTAACTATCGTTGTTTTCTTATTGTTTGGCTGTTTTTTGATTCTTGAAATTGTATTTTGTATTGACTTTGTTTCTGTCTTGGTGCCTTATGCCGTGGGTGTGCAAAATAAATATTTTTTCTTTCTTTCTTTCTTTCGTTTCTTTTTTATCCTCCGAGGCCGTGAGGCAAAGTCCAAAGGGCAGTGAGCAGGACCAAATTGTGAAAAAAGTGATAGGTGGCTAGCTCACAATTACTAGCCCAATATCACATTAGTTGTTTTTTACGACAGCCTATATAATAACACAGTTGGCACATACTTTTTTGGTGTACGTCCGCCACAAAAATGGGATCAGTTAGTCCCAGATCGTTAAGATATAAAGCACAGTAGCACTCCAACTCAATGAAATAAAATGTTCTTATTTTAAATTAATACGAGTAATATATCTTTGATTACATTTATTTGCACAACTTTAAGAGAGTAAAATTTAAATTAACATTTATTCTTTCTAATAAATTATCACTTAAAAAGAAGAATCTTAATATATGGTACTAGTTGCTTCTTCACACTAATGAAGATTATTTTAAAACTAAGATCGTATAAAATATTTGTTCCTTATATTTTAGGAAAGTATTTTTTATTTATGGCACGCAATACTCCGATTAATTAGTTTTAAAAATATATTTTATTAGTTTAATAAAATAATAATTTATTGAATATAATTTATTTTGTAATTAATAAATATAAATTTCAATAGCTCGGATATTGATATGAATACTTATAGTTTAGATATTAGTTAATGGTGGTTTAATATTTTATTTCAGAATCATTCCATCAGAAGCTCTTATTTTGATTAAAATAAAAACTTATCTAACTAACAATCTACTGTGAATCAGATTTCAGTGGGCTGAAAGTTGTGATCCATTGTTATCTCTTTCAGTTAAAGGCGTGGCTTCTACCCTGCGCATGCGTGAATGACAAATCTTAAGAATAAGAATCGAGATTTTTTATTCTTTAGGATAATACATCAGTTGTGAACAAGCTCTGCACCCTTAGAAAATAAGTACATAAGACGTGAACCTTTGTACCCTCTACATAGAATGTAAATATAACTAAGGACTGAATTTTCAATATTCGGAAAAGTTATCCATCAAATAAATTATAACCTGACTGAATACAAAAGTGACACAATTAAACTAATTTATTATTATTATATTTTACCCTATGAATAACTTTTATAACTATCAAAGAAGAAATAACAGAAGAATCAGAAAGAAAAATCAGTCTTGAAACAAATATTATAAAGATTAATATAATATGTTTTTATAAAAAGTTAATATAACAATTTCTTTAACTATGTTAAATAAATGTTAGGACTCTTCTCTGACTAGAAGTCCATTTAATTGGGTTCACCAATGACAAAACTACATAGTAATTTTTGAGTAAATCCTAAAATTCTACAATATCACCCCTAAAATATATAGCAACAATCAGTAACAAATTAAAAAAAAACACTTGTTAAGGAAATTTCATTAAAAACCTACTAGATATCAATCTTATAGATTTATATGACGAGGATAATGATACTCGTATGTGGAAACTATTCTCTGCACTCAGAAGTCCCCTAGTTAGAGCCTATATACGACTCACTGCTAGGCACAGGCCCCCAAGATTCCACTGCTGGGCACAGGCCTCCTCTAATTTCTGAGAAGGCAAGTCCCCTGGCCTCCAATAATTTTCGTTAGAACTGACATTTTATAAATATTTATTAACCTTTGACATTATATTATCATAATATAAATTGTTATCGTAAATGTAAATGAAATATGGCTTAAAAAACAAACACCTTAGAGTTATGGTTTATTTCTAACAAGGTCTTATTTTTGCGAACCGGTGTAGATTTTGTCGTTCATAGGTGTTTTAAACAAGCCTAAATTAAAAAAAAGGTTTGTCTTTTAATTTCGTATCACTTTTTTACTTTTTTTGTCATTAAGCAGCAGTATGTTTCGATATTTTATTTGAAAGGTATCTAAAGCTAGGCAATAACTGGCTGTGGGACATTTTATTTTAGTCGTCAAATATCAAATTCACCTATAGTCTTGTTTGTTTGTAGTTAAGATAGCCAGCATAATTCAAGTTTTGGGGCATTTTACCTTAGTCCTCAGAGGTGTCCTGGAAGTAACGAATGTACCTCTGCACCGTCTACGGTTAGAGTTGACTATATATGCCCAAGAGCGTCGGAGAGTTTTCCGTTCCGTTTCCGACTGTCAGCTTAAATGTCATCCGAGAATAAAACATTTACAAAATTAAGTAAGTAATATATTCGTTATTCTCACAATCACTGCTTTATTTTATTTTCTTTGTCACTATACGTTTATGTGCGAAAATCTAAACATAAATTAAAGTGTGTTATCTTCGCCATACAATTTTCTTACACATAAATAAATAACATAATCTATTAATAATTATATTAACCTTAACACCACTGTTTTACTTACAGCAGTGGACTTTAATAGGCTGTAACGAATGAATGAATGACTCAGTTAAGTAAATAATTCTACTGCTACTTTTTTTAATCTGACCATTTTTAAAATCAAACTGGTTACAATATTACAATTCATTACAACCGCCAACTTTAACACTTAATTTATAAATTTTTGCTTTAACTGTAGGGGTGTAAGAATATTCATTACCCCACATCGTCCGTGGGTGTCGTAAGAAGCAACAAAAGGAAATTGAAACAGGAGGTGGGTAGCAGCATCTTCTTGATAAAAACTCAAAACATCTTGATAACACTCAAAATGTGGAAAATATGTCCAAATTTTCTCTATGAGGCATTCTATAGGGGAAGCCTATGTTCAACAGTGGACTTTAATAGGCTGTAGGCTGTGATGGGTGGATGGAAATGCTTATTTAGACTAACATCAAAATGTTTCAGAATATTAACACCCTCAGCGCCAGACCTTAAATGGCCGTTCTTTCAAATTTTGCAAATTTATGCAATGGGACATGCCTAGTCATGATGATCCTCCTGCTATAGATTATACTGTAGCAAGCTCTGGTATGAAGGATATTTATGTCGGAATTTTAGCAAATGCGGATCCAATAGAAAACTATAACTTGTATCTGATCCCTGACATTCTAAACCGTAGATGCACAGACCGCGGCCCGCGGCCCGCATGCGGCCCGCTGGTTGAATACTGGTGGCCCGCCGACAGTAAAAATAATACTCTCGTACATTCGAAAAATATTGAATTATATTCCAGAATAAAACCAAAAAAAAAATGTTCGAAAAGTAATTTGAAACTCGCGCGCGCGCTCTTAAGTGCGCTTATCGGTGCGCTGTGCATGCGTCGGTAACAGCGGTCGGTAATGTTCGTGCTGATCTCGGTTAAATTCGTTTTCTTGAGGAACCGCCGCGGCCGGCGGCGCGGCGACGATGGCAGCGCGGTGGCGGCTTATCCACGGGTTATATTGTTAGAGCAAGCGAGATAGCAATAGTCCCGAATTCCCGATTGCTCGCGTAGGTAGATACACGAAGCTTCCAAAGTCGGTTTCGTGATTTCTCCAGACAGTTTTCGACTCTATACGCGCGGTATAAAAACCACGCTAACCGCAGCGACCGACAGTTCGGTTTTAATTTGAGTGAAGTGTCAATAGTTCTAGTGTAGATTTTAACTCGACTAGCCGGTGTCATATATTTTGATCCACATTCAACGTAGATTTCCCGTCTAGTGCCGTGCATAATTGTGTTGTGAAATCGTAAGTAAAACTCTGTTATTAATAAAAATAGTGAAATTTTTAGTAGATGGTCAAATTTATTAAAATCTTATTAATAAAATGTAATAATATCATTGATTAACCAATAATTATAATTAAAATTTAAAGTATAGTTTAAAAAATTTTAATTTTAATTTTGTAATGGATCTGTGTTGTCTGTATCAAATAAATTATTATTATTTGGGGCATCTATATAGTTTACTCATCTGGTTGGGCTGTATAAATATATAATTGTAAATGAAAATGATAAACATACATAAATATCAACAAAATAAAATAAATGCATAAAAAATACATAAATAAATAAAAACCCAACCAGATGGAAGCCCTCGGCAGGGGAGACCAAACGGCCGAGGGTTAGGGGGAAAGGGAAAGAAACCGGCGGACGATGCGGGCGGTATCGAGGTGCACCGCCTTCTGCATTTGAGCTTGGAGCGGTCCGTCACG